CATATTCACCATGGGCGTGCATGTATCCCTGGGACGGAAGGCTGTCTCCGCTTGCAGCAACACTGCACCATGGTTTAGGGCAGCAAGTGAGAGAAGTCCTGTGCCCAAGTGAAACTGCCAAGGGAATCTTAGGCAAACAGCCTGCAGCAATCCCAGCCTGGAGCCGGGCCACAGCCCAGAGTTAACAATACCCCTACTCTTGTGGAAAGTGTCAGGGGATCTTTAAAGACCACAAGGGGTTGTATTTAGGTCTCACTGGGAAGACGGCCTCTCCAAGAGTACTGCACGCTACCAGGGCACTGGATCAGTATAGACATGTAGGGCAGAATCAGTAATGGGTGCTGTGTGCGGCACCCGGGGGGGTTTCTTTCAGGTCTTTTATCCTTGTGCTGATCCAGCCTGGCTGGTATGTTCTGACAGCATCAGAACCCAAGGTGGGATGGCTGCAGGCTGTATAAGCTATGCCAGGTAGTAAATTGCAGCAATAAAAAATGAGACAAGCCACCATTTGGATGGGAGGCAAAGGGGATTTGGCTGTTCTTCCCATTAACAAACAGCTGAGAAGTACTGTGCAGGCCAAGAAGGTCTCAGAGGGCATGGGCTGGCAGGGCAGGGCTGAGATTTAGGATTTAAAGGAGAGATTGAGCTTTAAGATTAAGAAGAGGAATCTCATCCTCAGGGGAAGAACTGGAGCCGCTGAACAGAAAAGGCTTGGTTCAGGGAAAGGGGAAGGTTCACAGCTTTGGTGTGGAAACCGGAGGGAGGGAGGACTGGTGCATTTGAACACAGGATTTGTGGAATTAGACAGCATGCCTGGCGCTGCAATGAAAGATGCTCACCAGGATCTTGAGTGGAGCGATGCTGCATCTGCCATGTAGGTGATGGGAGGGAAGCCTAGGTAATGCAAGCTGGGTTCAATCCTGGCTGTTTTAACCCCTCCTGTGCTGAAGGGTGTCTAGTATTAGGGGCGCCAGTAGAGTAAGACCACTACAGTGTCTCGAGAGCCAGCACACAGCAGCTGCATCCTCTCAAGCACCGTGGTAGTTCCTAGTCCCCTCATCATCTCCCAAACTTCACCCACCTGCAAGCCTGCCTAGGCAGGGAGTGAGGGGAGCCTGAGACTGTGCAGAGGACTCCTGACCCCTTGCACTTTCCAGCCACGTGGCTCTCTACTGATGTGGAAAGAGCCTGGAGACAGCAGTGCTGGTGCTATGGCCCTGTGCAACCCTGGCTGCTCTGCAGAGGCTGCTAGCACTGGGGGAGGGTTGGATGATGCTGCAGGGAACTGGAGTGAATCCTCCACAAAGCGCAGTGTCACACAGATCACTGGCCAGCTGTTAGGTGGGAATGGTTTTTACTATAACTGGCCCCAGCTGGATTCAAAGCAGCACATAAAGACTCCCAAGTTCTTGCACAGAACAAAATGGATCTGCTGCTGCTGCTGCTGCCGCCACTTGGCTGTATTTACCCATGCAACAGCTCTGAAGTAGGGCTGTTCTGCTGTCCCCAGTGTCAATGACCCAGAGAGACTAAGGCCTCATTTACAAGCATGAAGCCAGTGTGAAGACTCTATGTTACCCCCTGTAAGGATGTTCTCGGGGCCTGCCTATGCTGACCTCAGGCTGCCTACAGCAGGCTGCAGAGGCACACTATGCTCTTCCACTGCATAAGATGCACTGGTGCTTTTCCTCCATTCTAGTTTATCTTTTTCCTCCCAAATTTGAGGGCACTTGGGCTGCAGACACACCCCTGGCCACTGGCACAAGGCCTCCCACTCCAACAGCCTTGAGATGTAAAGCCCACAGTGTTTTGACCTCTTGCAGAAGGCGACTGGCAGCACCAGCTCCCATTCCCCACAGCAACTCTCAGACCTCATCCATCTGACTGCCAGACTAAGCAGGGGAATGAGGGAAAAGGTCCGCCCAGGTGCACAGGGCATTGCCCACACCGAGAATCAGGAGAGTTGGCATGATGGGCAGTTCTGATCCTGTACTGCATGTAACACCTGCCCGGGTTTTTCATTATTCCTTCTGCACTTCTGCTACCTGCTGAGCCTCCCCAAGAGCTGGATTAGGCTTTGGAGCAGTGTAGCTTTGCTAGAAAGGAAGGATTTCTTTTGGACCCATCACTCCCACCGGTTTGTGGCTGCACCTCCCAGCTGCATAATTACCCCCACCCTAGCCAACACTTCCTGCTCCTTCCACCATTTATCTGTAGACATGCAGCTCAGGCAGACAACAAAGGAATTAAAAAAAAGATGAAAAAAAGGCAGAGAGGAAGGGAAGAGAAGGCAGGTTTACTTAGCTTAGATTATAAGCACTGGGCTTGTGCTGGTATTTTCTAGGGAAATCCCACCTGGAAGATGCTGGGCAAGTAGGAACAGCAAGAAAACCATCCACAAACCCAAGTCGCTGCAGTTACTGGGACAGAGGCTGAGGGCTGGGGCCTGTGAAGTGCTGAGGCAGGAGCCTACCGGGCTCCAAGGCAACTGGCCTGAGGTCCTGTCCAAGACAGTTCAGCTATGATCTCAAAGAGCCCCAGGATTTGGCCTTTCCTTATACTCGGTCCTCAGCTGCCAGTCGGGTTGACTGCCACAATTTCACTACGTCCATGAGTGGGACGCAGCAGCTGTCTCCAATGCAGCATGAAGGTGTCTCTCAGCTGCCCAACCTTTTTCAGTGCCAGTGCCAAAGGCTTCTGAGCTGCAGCCTGCAAAGCTGCCTCAAGATGCTAAGGCTGAAGCTTTTGCAAGCGGTCCTGTGCAATTTTGGGAGCCTTCAGGCATGGATTTCCCCATTGTGGGCCTACCTATCACAAGTGCCGAGCTCCCACCGCAGCCAGTGGGAGCAGCAGGTGCTTAGCACCTCTGGAAAACATGCCCCGGGCTGGACTCAGAATTAGCAGCAGCTTGGAAAAACCTGGTCAGGTTCAACAGAAAGGAGCCCCATGGAGCGTCAGACCTGTCTTCATCATACAGCATGAGGAAAAACTTCTGTCTGTGGGACTCTAGCAAAGGTAGTTCCAGCAGGACACTGGTGCGGCAGCCACTTCCAGCAGAGCTGCTGAGGTCCTCCTGCATGGACACACCTGGTGGAGTTAACAGTAATACTGAGGATGCTTAGCTTTTTGCATGAGAGGCCAGCCCTGCCACGACTGTGGCTGGGGGAAGAGTAAGGAGGGTGCAAGAGTTACAGTATGAGGCTCCACAACTTGGGCTGAAGGGCCCGTCCCAGAGGTGTGAGCTCTGAACATCTCACGACACAGGCAGGAAGGCGAGATGCTCTGAACTGTGGGCACCTCGCAAGCATCACACATCCTCCTCAGAGCTCCTTCGAGGAGAGCATTGGCAGAATCCCCATTTTACAGACACAGTGAGGCAGAGATTAGGCCAGGGCCACACAGCAAGGCATGAAGTCAGAGAGACAGGTGAGGAACAACCGACAGCTTACTCCCGTCAGGCACAATGAGTCAGACTGGGATCAGAACTCAGGAGATCCAAGCTCAGCCCGCTAAACCATGCAGCTTTATCAAAATATCCTGTACCAGGTGGGAGAAATTTGTGTGGAAACTCAAAGGATAAACACGGATTCCCTGGCTGCAGAAACCCAAGTCAGGGGAAGGAAGAAATGAAAAACAAGTCAATGTTTGCCAAGTGGCAAAGATGAAAAAAAAAAAAAAAAAAAAAGAAAATCAGTGGAGAAACAACAAACTCTGATTGCCCAACATTTCTAAGAGGTGAGTCCAAATAACAGGGAATTAGACCCACCAGTGAGGCAGCAGGATCAATGCGGTACAAGAAACAGCAAGAGAAGACGAGTCCCACAGGGTTTCCAGAGAGTCCTCTGGTATCTTTTATTTTCATTAATGTCCCGGTAATGGATTAGTTTCCTCCGCTCGGTATTATTGTTTCAGGCGCCTTATTAAGGAGCTTGAGGGGGGTTTTGCTACAGGGATCAAACTGGCTTGTCTAGTTTCGCTGCAGCTTCCGCCAGCAACTCCAGACTCCCCTCTGACTTCTTCCTGACCGCCAGCACCTAACATGGCAACCCATGCTCAAAGTGAACCCGAGCCTCGGAAAGAACCAAACTAGCCAAGTTCAACATCTGCCGCAGCAAATCGGGAGAGGCATCTTGCTCTATTAAGCATCCAGAATGCTTGGCTGCAACAACTGTTGACCCTGGCTGGAATACCAAAACCACCATTGATAATACTCCGTTTCCCCAGCGGTAGAAGAATTCAAGCTGTAAGTGAGGTGGATAGTGTGGTCTGAGGCCAGTTTCCTAGAGGACAGGCATGGTATAAAGCCCCAGAAGAATGATACTGGACAGAGGGCACAAAAAACAATTTCCATAGTTAAGGGGAGGTGATGGGTCCTCTCTAACCCCGTGATGTCCTAGGGTAGAAGTCCTGCATCAGACGTGAAAAATGTGGGCTGGTCATCATGTGCCTGGTGCTATAGGGTGGGGAGGGGAATGTCAGGAAACTGCCGTGACTCAAACTAGGCACACAAAATGAAAGCAAGACCAAGGCTGTCCCAGATCCAGCCTCTACTATCACAAGAAAGTGATGCCCAGTCAGTGTTAAAGACCAATTCCTTCGCCAGGGCAGAGGAAAATGAAGAGACTCCTAAGGTTCCTCCTGTTTATTCCAGTCTGGTTGATTAGTTTAACCCTGGGCATATGAGCTACAGTCAGCATGGCTGACACTTTGGTCGTACTGGGAATCTGCCCTGTTTCCAGCGCTCAGTAGACAGCCACCAATGAAGCTCCACCGAGGCAAACACTGGTACCACCCATCTACAGCAGCAGTGAACTTGGGCAAGGAGCCGTTCTTCCCACAGTGTAGACAAAGAGCCTATATGTCCAGGCCCCTTTGTAGTCTGAGACGCACCCAGTGTTTATCCATCTTTCTTGAAGACTATGGCACCCAAGGGAGAAGCTGCGAGTGCGGGGAGTGGGGAGTGATGGGGGCAGGAGCAGCTAGAGACTACAGGAACTAACCTTCTGGGCGCTGGATGCAGGTGTGCTGGTTGTCACTCAGGAAGAAGCCCTCCCGGCAATGGCACTCATAGCTGCCCATCATGTTGATGCAGGTCTGCTGGCAGCCACCGTTCCCCACAGAGCATTCGTCCAGGTCTGAAAGCGTAAGCGAGAGAAAGAGTGAGAGTCTGTCATCCCCTGCCTTTGATCCAAACACAGTGGCACAACAGCAACAATACCCTGCAGCTTGCGCTGGGGTGTAAGAGCTGTGTGCTACGTGATAAATATATAGGTACTCCCACCCAGAGTCTGGAACGGGAGCTTGACACTGCCTTGATCAGCAGCATTTCATGGCAATGTTACCAACAAAGAAACAGAGGCACATGGAGAGTGCAGGTTTCATTGGCTGTGGCAAGGGGTTTGGACTCTGGCCACACAGGTTCTGCTCCGGTTGCCACCGACTTAGCATTTAGCTTTAGCCATGTCTCTTCCCCCTTTTGTGTGCCTTGATCCGTCATCTGTAAAAACGGGGGGAGCAGAACACACCCAGCCTCATAAAACACTTCAGACCTACAAGAGAAAAGGCAGCATTGCCCATTAACAGTAATGCTCTTTAGGGCTCCGAACTCTTCTGGCAGCCAGCAGGTAGGTGACATACTCAGTTCTCCACTTTATAGGTGGGGAAACTGAGGCACAGACACAGAAAGAGGCTTGTCCTATGTCATATAGGGAAGTTTGTGGCCAGGTTGGCAAAAGAACCCAGGATCCCAGACTCCCAGGTCCCCGCTCTAGCTGCAAGAGACTATATTGGCTCTCCTGCTCCATTCTCTTCCTCCGCAACGGCTGCGAGTGACCGGGCATACATGCACTCCCTGAACAGTCTCTTGGAGCCTCAGACGCTCCACGGCAGGGGCTGCATCACTGCTGGGAAGTCAAGACATTTAATTTCACCCAGGAGCCTCAACATACGCCATGAAGCCTTGCTTTACGTGTACATGTTTGCAAATCTTGGCAAAAGTCACCACTCAAGCAACATCTCAGGCCCTTTAAAGGCGCCTGAAAATGCCTACAGTGTTTCCCTGGAGTAGGGAAACCTTCACTAAGAGCTTGCTCAGATCATTCATTCTGAAATCCCCAGACGCTTTGCTGCTGCCCTTTTGCCTGTTTTGGTTTAATAACACAAAGCCCAAAAGGCTGCTGGCCTTCAGCACTGGCCTAGCACCAGCCTGCCTGGAAGGGGAGCTCCAGGGTCCCCACATGCCATCCCCTGGCAAACAGAGAGGAGTGACCTTGAGGGCTGTAGGGACCGGGTGTTTCCAGAGAACAGAGTCCTCAATGTCTCCAGAACAAGTACAGCACTGGGGGTAGGAAGGCAAGCTCCCTGCTGCTCACCTCCTACTCTCTCCCAACATGGTGGATCAGCTCCAGCTACTCCTGAGGCTACGGACAGACAAACAATGATACCGAGTTTAAAGTGCGGGGACTTCTGTGTCAGCTGATTCATGGTAACTGTATCATCTGTCTGCTCAGTCCCATGATAAGTGGAAGCTAAATACAGTTAATGTTTGAATAAAAACAGCTGATCAGTTCCTGAGGTTTAGCTCCCAATTTGCAGGGGTAGGGGAGGGAAACAGTCAGATAAAACCATTTTAGTGGCTCTAGAGACGTAAAATGCACTTACAGCAGGCTGCTGGATGAGCAAGAAGTACTCTTTCCTCTTATAACTGCATCTGTTTCACCTGTTCATACCCCCAGGCAGCTAAGGAAAGGGCATGCCAACCCCTTCCTGCGGCAGTGGGTGTGTGACGTGGGGACCCTGATGGAATTCACATCCATTGCAAACCACAAGCGATTGTCCAAGCCAAATAAAGGATGAGCCACACAGGTCCCAAGGGCACCCAGCACCTACCCGACAATGATTCTGCCTCTGGTTGTTATTCCAGTATCCCTACTCATTATGCAGTCCTGGGGACTGAGACTGCTCAGTCTAGCTTTTCTTCTCAGTGACCAGGCTGGTAGGAGGCATGGGTGCTGGACAGGGCTCCAGTCAGATTGCAGAGCTGAAGATCTCTTTGACCATTTGGTCTAAAATCCTCAGGCTTCCAGGATAGGGCAGTTTCTCCATCTTGGGCTTTTTACTACCCTGGACCCTTCTCCCCAAAGAACAGAGAAGAAATGCAATCAGCCCTCTCTCCCAATGTGGAGAGAAAGCATCAGGATGAGGAACGAGAGGACCAGTGCCAAAGAAAACCTCCTGTGAACTCGAGCGTTTCAAACCCAGCAGCTAAGTGGAAAGCTGAGCCCCTTGGACACCAGCAATGAGGCCGTGGAGCGGACTCCGGAAAAGCTGGAATAGCAGGTCGATGACAGCATGTGGAGGGAAGGAATTCCAGATCGGGCCCCCAAACACAAGCACACATCTGAGCAGCTCATTAAAGTGCACACTCAGATATGTATGCGCCAGCTCCCCTGCCCAGAGACAGCAGGGTACACCCACCGCACGCATGCCATGCCGCCTTAGCCCCAGGTAAACCTGCACATGTGCCTGTTCGCAGGGAGCGACACAAAAACTCATCCATGCACAGGCTCCTACAGGGGCAGATGGGCACAGTCAGACAGAGCTGTGCCCCTGCACACACTCATGCCGAGACAGCTAACCCAGGTACAAACCCTGCCCCTGGACCATTAAGTGCAAGACTCTCCTAGGGTCAGTCACTCATGCTCCATCACAAATTCTGATCCACCCTTGGTACAATCCTTACTGGGAAGCACCAGGTGCAATCACAGCTACTCCGAATGGAAAAAATGTTGACATCCTTCCTTTGCCATCCCCTTACAGACAGCCACAAACAGAATAGGAGAAGTAGGGCTCAGCGGACTCTTTGGAAAGAAGCACATGGCCCCAACCCACCTCCAGAACCAGTGGGTTTCTTCCACATCAGGGGGTGTCCCTCACAAGACCTAAAGCTGTAGTGATGCTTGCTGAGCCGATGGTGGCACAAAGCTGATGTTGTAAGAGAGGTGGAAGGGGAACAAGCCCAGGGGTTTTCTCCACAGGACTCCAAAGCCCTTATCTGCTTGTTCTGTACAAAGGAGAGCGAGGAGCCCCCAACCCACACTGCCACGCAGCCAGGCCCATGGTGGACTTCCACCTGGAGAGTGGTTTGGTCAGAACCCAATGAAACCATAGCGGAGATGTAGCTTGTGAGAGCAGGGGGCTGTGCCCACATGGACCTTGCTGGGTTACCCAGCCTGGCTGTGCACATACTGACACAAGCGGGAAAACCATGCCAGGGCAGAGCTGCGGTGCCCGGATGGACTGGCTCAGTGCCGAGCAGTTGTGGTTCCAGAAGTAGTGTGTGCAGAGTGAAGGTGGGTCCTTCTGCACCGCGCTAGTTTGCACCACACAAAGATGCATCCCTGAGGCTCTGAGGAGGCATTTAGCTCAGAGCCTGTGGCTGGTCGAGGGGTCTATGCTCAACCCAGCGGACCAGCATCTCAGCCATGCACTTAAACTGAACAGGAGCACCTCTGATGCTTTCTGTTGAGCCAAGATGGCCAGTTACAGGTCCTCGGTGCTTACAGCAGGGGCTGGTAACCTATAGCCCATGGCTGGATTTGGCCTGCAGACGTGAGGTTTCAGTGGCAATGGTGGTGGCCAGGTCCTAGCGCTACCCACCTGCCTCTGACCCAGAGTGGGTCATTCCAGCCCGCAGCCAGAAAAGGTTGCCTACCCTTGGCTTAAGGCAATGCCACACTGCCCTGTGTCCTGCTTCAACCCAAACCAGCTGGCTGTGATCCCCAAGCGACCACACAGTACCTGAGCATAGTCCAGCTCAGCAGAGCCCTACAATACACCACAGCCAAGAGCTCCCCAACACCCAGGGAGCACATTTGTGCCATGCAGACTTTAGCCCTACACCTCCCATCACCTGAAGCACCACTTCTGCCCTGCTGCTACATGGCGGTCTCCCATCCATACGCTGCCCCAGCTTGACCTTGCTCAGCTTAAGAAGTCTAAACAGGATCCTAGCACAAGGTGGTACGGGCTGGAAGCTGATAAAGGATAAAAGGCAGAGAGAAGATTAAATGACCAGGGCTGCCTTCTCCCTTGTCCCAGCACATCGTTTCAGACGCAGGAATCTTTGCTTTTGCTTCTCCAGGCATCGAGCTAGCTCCAGCCAGCCAACTTAAAAAAGGAAGACTGAAAGGGGATGTTCTAGTCAGTGATGGGAGGTTTCTTTCCTGAACGCGATCCTAGTCTTAGCCGCGCTCTGTCCCGTATGTGCCCGTAACTCCCTTCAAATCCCTCCCTTATAACAAAAGCTTAACTCCTTGTGACTTCTCCTTAAAACTCAATGCGAGAATGACAAGGCACCAGTTCACAACCAGTGGCTGAAATGAGACTCCGTGGCCCTAATGCCTATTTTATTAAACGTAACAGAGACGGCCAGAAGCCAAAAGGCCCCCACATCAGGGCGAGGGCTCAAATTCCTGTCCTGGTTCAAAAGGTTACGTGAGATCTTATGGGAGGGGATGCACAGTGGAATTTCTGGTAATAACATCTAAGTTGCAGACAATCCCCTCCAAGTCTCAGAAAGACCAAGCTTTCCCTCTGCCCCCTGCCCAAACACCAGCTCACATCACATGCCCTCCTCCTCAAGGTGTGCCAAAGAGAGCAGACCAGGGAAGAGAGATGGCTACAGCTGCCAGGCTCATACCCACACGGCCAGTGTTAACTGGCAGAGGCAGTATTGTCCAATATCCGGCAGGACACCAGACTCGGTGTTGAAACCTAGGGGTCCCATTTCCCACTCTGCTACTGATCTACTGCAATCCTCCAGGCAAGGCAGTTGGATCCTCTATGCCGGTGGTTCTCAACCGTTACCGGCACAAGGCACCCCTCGGAAACTGCTATCTCTTTATTTTTCTTGAATCAAAAAATGATCAAAAACCGAGCAATTTTTCTTTTGCAAAGAGGTCCGAAAGACCACAGCAGGCCAGAATGTTTCTAATGCTATGGATTCCTATTTGAAATCTCTGTATTTATCCTGGGAATCATGTCTGCACACCCAACAGTACTCATCCCGCATGGCAGCTCGTGGCACCCCTGAAAGGCTCTCAAGGAAACCCAGGATGCCATAGCATCCTGGTTG